TTATTTACTACTATTTTCTGGCAGTTTTAAGTTAAGATATCTCGAAATCTTGGTGTGATAGAGCTATTCTGCAGCCGGATTCGGATTCAGCGCAAAAAATTACGTAAGAAAACATTAAATCCCAATCAACTTCCAGCACTTCCAATTTTGCAAGCCTGTGTAATTATAGATCGTAAAGAATAGTTTACATTGCAAATACATTAATTATATTTAGCAATAGATAACGATTAAGAAATATTTGTTATTATACTACGCAATATGTGCACACTGATGTGCTTACAACTATCATTTATATAATATACATGACTGTTTCTTGAGAACTTATGCTTTTAAATATTTAATATATGCTATACAGTGTTACGTCCAAGCCCCAGGATCCTTCATTTCAAGGACGTTTTCGGGGTGAAGAGGGGGCTACAGAAGAACGTAATTGAAACCGTTCATGGGGCTTATCGCTTTGTGGCGCGTGCCACAAGTCGAAAACACTCGGAATCTCAGGTACGAGTCGACACAGATAAAGTTGCGCTATTACATCGGCTGAGATAGTACGACCATTGGTCCTTTACTTTAGATCGGGGAATTTAATTCCTTTGATTAGGAATCGAACCCGTGCAGAAATGAAAGAAATAAAGTCGAGGGTAGCCAAGTAAATCTATTCTTAGTTCATAATATTAACTACAATAGTTTATTATTATTAAACTTATAGAGCATATACTAATGAAGCGAACAAAAACAGAGAATGGACTGTGCGATCCGTGTGTCAAAATGGTCGATAGGGATGAGAGAGAGGGACCGTGGCAGACGGTCATTTCTATCTCTTTCCATTCAATGGTGTAATGGGAGAGAGAATGAGAGGGAGATTGGCCGTCTCCCACGGACCTCTCTCTCATTATTGTCGACCACATTTGATACATTATTTAGATACGGATCGCGCAGTCCATTCTCTGTCTTTGGGAACGAGCATCGCCTATGTTTTACATAGTGAACTGGCGAGCTGACAAGTAAGACAAAGAAGGAGACATTTGGCAATAATCTCTCTCTCTCTCTCTCTCTCTCTCTCTCTCTCTCTCTCTCTCCCCCTCAATTTGTAATTGGCTCGTCAGGCTCCACCCCTGTTCGATGACAGCTGATGACAGTAACAAAAAAACGATCCCTGCACGTGCGACGTCATAAAATCTTACAAAATGCCAGTCTTTTGTTTGATTCGCACGTGTAAAGCGACAAACGATAATAAATTATATCGGGACATATCATTTCACAGGTAAATTAACAAAAAGTATAAACAATTATTTACTTTAAGGAGATGCTGGAGTGACGGTCGGAACTTAATCAAGGTCAATAAAATCGATTTTGTACCGTCCGCTTACGCCCTCTGGAGGCTCAGGCTCTCATTGTTTTCATGCGCTGTGAGTGCTGTGAGCACTTACGTTTCCAGCTGTTTCCAGCCATGCGCCATTTCCAGTCGCTCGGTTTGCTCACATGTATGAGCTTTAAACAGAACGCAGTCTGAAATATGTTACACGTGACAAAAAGAGATACAAGTTTCTTATTCTCAGATCTCACGCAGATATATTTACACGAAATATTAGAATTTTATGAGTATTATAATGTGTGTCTGTATGTATATACTTCTATATATATATAAATAATGAATATAAGTATACATATATACTTATATTCATTATTTATATATATAGAAGTATATACATACAGACACACATATTAATATAGAGACATGTGAGTGAGAATATTAGAATTATATTTTATGTGCATTATTATGTACACACATTACAAAACATAAAATATATTTCTAATTTATATCCACTATGTCTGTTTAGATATGTATTGGAATTTTATGTGCATTTTATATTTCCAATACATCTAAACAGACATAGTGGATATGAATTAGAAATACATTTTGTGTTTTGTAATGTGTATACATAATAATGTGTTGTTGTTGTTGTGTACATAAAATATAATTCTAATATTCACTCACATATCTCTATATCCCCTAATAGCACAAATATCGTACGCGAATGATTCTATACTTAACTATTATCATACGTACCGTTGCACACATACCGATAACGTTCGTATAACAACCTGTGTAATTTATCATTTGTCATTTATATATTCTTAAGCTCATACTTAAATCTCCAATTTTCTTAAACTTTTCACGTCTGCTGGAGTATCGAATATTAGTCCAAGAAACCGAAGACTGGCAAAAAAAAAACGGAGAACTGGCAACCGTGTTTGTGATTTAAAATCCTTTCATTTTCCGTCGTCTCGATAGAGCGAGACACAAAAAAAAAAACAAAAAAATAGAAGCTCCAATTATAATTCGTGAGGCTCCGCGCGGACATGCCGAGCTGGGCTCGTCGAGCGAAACAGCAAGTTTGTCCTTTAAAGTCTGTCCTTGTCTCTATGGTCGCTTGTTTATAGCGATCGAAAATACTTTCTCGGCGATCTCGCTTGGCGTGTATCAGGGGGGAAAGAGACATTCTAGATAACACATAATTTTTATTGAATTGTAGTAATTAAGTAATTATATACCTTTCTCATTAACGTATAATAGCAAAAATAATTTCAAACCGTGATAGTTGAAGAGATATAGTTTACGGTTTTCGGTGCGCTTTATGTACCATGTTCGTAGAAATGATCCGTAAGAATTTAACGTGGTCTCGAGCGTTAGGTGCGGGATTAGTATGCCGAAGATCGTGCGCTCGATCCTGCTTTTTCCTTTTTTCATAATTTCTTTTTTTTAAGAAATAACGTTGTCAATAAACATATTACTCCAAATATATTTTTAGATAATTACATTATACGTGTACTTTTAAGTTTTAATTCAACAACTGTTGGAAGAATCTGGAGACACGGTAGTGTCTCGGCGCTGACACATGGCACGAGATATTGCCATGCTCCTTCACGCGGGCCTTCGAGTTGCGTACCGAATCACTTCAATAGCCAAGTAAAAAATTCCTTCTATATTGTACGACATATAAGGACTTTTAAATTTGTAAACTATAAGATTATATTGACATTATCCTTATAATTTTATTAATTATCTCACTTTCACGACTTTCCGCGCACTTTATGTACCGCGTTCGCAGATGTGATCCGTAAGAACTTAGCGTGGTCTCAGGCATTATGTACGAGATCAGTATACTGAAGCAGCCTACGCTCGACCCTACTTTTTCCTTTTTTCATAATTTAAAAAAAAATAAGTTATTAATAAATATATTACTCCAAATATATTTTTATAAAATTATAATGTTAAATAAAAGTTTAAAAAATATTTCTTCCAAATATCATTTCAAATGAATAATTGATGTAAAATGAACGTTCAATTAACGTTAAATAAACATTAAAAAAATATTTCTTTTATTGTTATTTGAAATAAAAAATTAATGTAAAACAAACATTTATTTAACATTAAATAAATGTTTAAAAAACATTTTTTTGAAACATTTCAAACGAAAAATTAGTGTAAAATTAACATTTAATAAACGTTAAATAAAAATCATATAACACAGGAGCTACGAGCCAATGTAATATATTTGTAACAATAATCAATAATAATAACCAATGATTATGTATTAAAACGCATGTTAATGTTAGAATGTAATAAATTTAAAAATTGTAATATCTGGCTCAAATTATTAAATTATAACATATAAACAATAGTTACGAAACGAAATAATATATTAGTCACAATGTTAAAAAATTATAAACAAGACAACGACGTTTCGACCTATCACAAGATCATCTTCAAATTGTTAAAATAAAATTGAAAAATATACCGACTTATTTTATTACATTAATATCTAAAGAAATTAATTTCTGTTAAATAAACGTTAAAAAAATTTTATTTTGGAAATGAATCGTAAAACGTAAAATTAATTACAAATAAACATTTTAAAAACGTTAAATAAATGTTAAATAAATGTCATTTTGAAAACAAATCGTGAAATGTGAAATTAATGAATAATAAACATTTAAAAAACGTTTAAAAAAAATTTTCCCCCATTGGGTAAATGTAATTGCACAGCTCAACAATTACTGCAATTTTGTATTTACTTCAATTACAATTACAATGTAATTATAATTACAGTGTAATTGCAATCAAAGCAACTATAATCGTAATTAATTACATTTATTATTCAATTATGCCCAACTCTGATAAAGAATAAATTAATTTAATATAAGAAATACAAATAAACTCTCGAGAATGTCTGTTTATAAATAAATTAATTTAACAAAACAATATCTTATATATTATATTATATATTAGAAATAGAAATTTATTTTTAAGAAGCTATATAATTGCGACTAAAGTTTAACCTTTTGATTAGTTTTTTTTCAATATTTTTACGTGACCGATAATCAACAAATAGGGATATGGATTTTATCACGGTCTAATTGTTTTTTATAAAATTTCTTTTTTAATATAATGAAACAAGAATTGTTGATTGATTAATTTACATCATTATTTTTACACCACTCAATTCAGCATTTAAAAAAACGTAAAGATACGTAAAGGTTTAAATTTTTTCTGAAAATTATTAGTGGTTGATTTTTGCGTTAATGTCCACTCTTAATTAAGAAATAAAAATGAAGGAATGAATAAGCATATAACAAATCATAACCTTTTATTTAAGTTAATTACTTAACAATAATTTATGGGATTTATTGAAATAAGTTCTCGGACTTTTATTTATACAAATTTTATTTTGCGAAGTAATATGATTATTAAGATAATTCGATAATTGAATTATGTTATTATACAAATCCTCTTTTGTATCGTATTCACTCTAATACTCGTATATTGAATGTTAATATGACATATATAATTTCTAAACGAATAAAGAAACTGCTAAATAACAAAAATATGATACTTTGTACTATCTTGTACTTGTTGAGAGAGGAAGGAGGGGGAGAGGATGAGAGGAAGAGAGAAAGTGAGAGAGAAAGAGAGAAGAGAGAAAGAGTAGAAGAGGGAGAGAGTAAACGTACAGAAAATTATTAAGAATTTTTCTGAAGAAATTTGAATTCCATTAATTAATCTAGCTCCAACTTTTTAAAGCTACCGTCTACGCCGAATAAGTTTTCTGTACCTTCACATTTGCCAACTCGCAAAGATTCGTTCACTCGTCTATTATTATCATCATACTGAAACCAATCACGAAATTCCTCCAGCAATTTAATTTGTTTAATAGCTATTTCTTCGATAGGTCCTGCTTTTCCATCATATTCGTTTGGTAAAGCTTCAATAGGTAAAAATTTCTTCACGGTTTCCATGCTCGAATGAAAATGCAGCTATAAATAATAAATGTCTATTCGCACCTCATATATTTTCATATTTCGTATATATTTTTAAGAAGAAAGACTTTGAAATGTGTATAACAGTATAACATATATGTCTTTTCGTTGACTTACGAGATTCATTAGTTCTTTCTTCAAAAATGGCTTTATCAGATTCATTAGCGTATCTACCATAGGTATAGTATTTAATACATGAAAACCCTTTAATCGAACCGGAGCAGCTTCTTGTACGTAAAATAAAACTTTTTTCATTCCCATTATGTTAATACTAGCGATATGACTGAAAGATAGGCCGGTTGCATCCAAAATAACAATCAATCCCTCGTTGGTACCTTGTATCATAGTTTGTACTTCGCATGTCATAAGCAAATACTTCATACATTCATAATAATCGAATTTATTTGGATTTGGATCCAGAAATTTGGTAAATGTTATTACATATCCTTCCTTGGTTTTTTGCTCTAATGGCACGGCTGCCCTTATTGAAAGAATTTTTTTTTCAATATTCAAAATATAAATTTTAACGATACTTAATTTTAATAATTTTAATCTTAATAATTTGGCAGATTAACTTACATGATAGAGAAAACTTTTCGCAATTCTTTCCATGCAATTGGATCTCGATTAGAAAACACTTCCGGCAAAAGTGTCCTTATGGTATAGAAATTGTCTATCGTTTTCTTAGTCGGCTCTATGCGATAATAGTTGCTATGCAGAAACAAAATAAGATATAACATTTCTACTCGTGGCAGATGAGGTTGCTTTACCATCCAATCCTTCAATATTTGTAGATCTGACATTTTGAGTTCCGGATTCCGTTTGCACTCTTCTTCTATACTGACATATCGAATTGGTAGTGACATCGTTGCTCTGATTGACCTATAAATTTGTAGATTTGTCCTCGTTTATAATTTTTTCTGAAAAATACGTAAAAAAAAAGAAAAATATATAAAATCATGTAGAGAAGCGAAAAATATATACACATACATGAGCACAAATATTTACTTTTATAATTAATTAAAAATAGACTCACACTAAACCGATTATAAATTCGATAACGTTGTTTTAAACTGTATCGATAGATGCGATCGATAGCTACTTAATCGTATCTTTACTTATTGGAAAAATATCTGCCAGATAAAGCAATACGCTGATATATTGTATAATATAGTTTGAATAATCGGAAGTTGTAAAACTTTCGTTATCATAATCGCAAGTAATATTTTTCAATCATTAGAATAAGTGGACCAAAATTAAAAAAATGTTTTATTTACCTCGAAAATCGATATACAGAGGTCTTTTTGGCTGCAATATCCTTATTCTCGCTCTTACTACAACCGAAGCTTGCAATATTTCAGTAACGTTACATGCCGAGTGGGTAACTTATTCCGGGAATTTTATTTCAAAATTGTGATCATCCACCCCAAAAACTTCAATACATCAATTGTCAAGGCAAATAAAACATTTTGTTAAATTTTTGGTTCGCTATGTTGGGTCGCTATCCATCATCCTGAATTTTGAAAATCTGACTTCATTTTCGTAATCAGCGACTCTCAAAATATATACATACTTTTTGGTATAGGTTATTAATCAAAATTTTTTAGAAACAATTTTTTCTTAAAAAAGTAAGGTTTTTTGCGCTTAATTTGTTTATAACTAATTCAAGTTGCAAAATAAAAGCTTCTATACCTAACCTGTTATTAAAGTAGTATTTGAGGATCATATAACAATTTATTGCATGTGCAGAAACCTTAAAAGTTATCGTACCCACATATGGGGGCAAGATGACAAAATTGAGATGTCCTTAAAAAAATTAAATTTTAAAGAATTGTAATTTATTTAACAACTTTATAATTTTTACAAATGATAACTAAGACTGTAGTGAACTTGAAAAAAAATAAATCAGTCTCTTTACCTCATCACAGAAATTAGGAAAAATCGACAAACCTTAAGGTCATCATCTTACCCCCCTTTCCCCTATATAAATATATATATATATATATTGCGATATAATGAATTTTTTATTTCTTTGTCAACATTCCACAATTCATTCATTTCTTACGACTTTTGTTTTGCGCACAATTACCCGACGCGTGAGAAATTTTTTCGCTTTTCCGCTTTTTCCTTTTGGTTAAATACAATCTTATTGAACGAAAATCTGTTCGATATGAGGATATACGTAATGGTAGAAGAATGTTTATAGTTTTTATTTTTATACTTGTATCGCTTTAAACTTGGAAAATCATTCCAGGGCAAAAAATCTCCTTTAGGTGCGAACAGTGTGTTCTCTCACTTTCTCTTATACGTATCAATTTGTGTATACTGTTAAAAATTATAAATTAATCGAAAAAAGGCTGCAAACGTAAATAATACAAAAATATAAATTTTTCAATTGATAGACGGCGTAAACTTTTATCAATTTATGAAATTATCACTTGAATATAGGTAAAACTTTGTTAAATAATTATATATATATATATATATACACACAGGGTGTTTGATAAGTAATTATAAATCTTTCAAAAATTGTTTATTTTCTTCTCAAAGTTCTGAGGATTTTTTAAGAATTTTTTAATACCGTATTTTCTCATGCTGGTAAAAATAAGAAAATGCAGTACTAAAACATTAATAAAAAATTCTGAAAAAGTTCTTAGAGCTCTATGAGAAGAAAATAAACAATTTTTGTCTCTTGCAGTTTTTCTGTGAAGTTGATAGTATTTGAGTAAAAAATTATTGAAGACCAATTTTCGACAATTTTTAATAAATATCTTATTTACTATTGCGAAAATTATAAAATGGTAGAAGACTTTTCTTCTCAGTTTAGTGCATTCTGCTCCTGTGCGAAAGATTTATCGTTACTTATCAAACACTCTGTGTATATATACAACTTTATTCCATATTTGTTTTTTCCTTTCTTCCTCTAAATATATATTTCTTTAAATCCAAAGACACAGTAGGTACATATAATATGTACAAATAAAATTAATAACACAATTTTCAATTGTATGAGCGAAAACGTAATTATATTTATTAAAATTACTTATTCACAGATAATTTCAACAACATGTATCGCGAGTCTTCTTTCATTTATTTTAAACAGTACACTTTCCATAATTAGCACATTTAACCACATGCAAAGTTGAAATGATATACTTAGAAAGAAAATAGATCATGTTAATTAACCTTAAACAGTTGCTCTTTAACCGGTTTTTCACAGGTGAATCTGTTCTACAAATACTAGCAATACAGCACAGAATATCGCTGCTGCGCACACGATAAGTTGATTATATACTGATTTCTAAAAGAGAATGTCCGAGCGTTTCGAGCGTTTCAAGTGTTCGACACGCCGAGAACGAATCCTTTCATATTGCGCTCCGCGAAGACTAAAATATTCTGCTCGTGTAATCACAATCGGACTATGAACATCAGGATTTAAACTGCTGCTTACAAGTTGAGTATTATTAGTTAAATAGCAAAAAAGATAATGCAATGCATAATCATTACACACAAAAAAATGAATTCTTAAAGAAATGCATGAATGCTTAGAATAGCGCCAAGAATAAACAATTTTCGATTAACAATAAATTACTCGTAAAATAAAATAAATTTTATTCTTAGTTCAAAACAAATTTTATTTCAATAAAAGAATAAAGTTGCACTCATTCAACACTAAATATGCTTATATTAGCATTATTTTTTCTTCAATAATACCTTTTGTCTACTTATTTCAAATCCCCAGTATGCTTTTTAGTAACATCAAAATGACAGAAACCACCCTTACGGAAAAAAACTATTAATAAATAGTAAAATGGCCAATAGTAATTTGGTTAATAGTTAGTACTGTTGGCCAACAGTTACTGTTGGTCAATAGTTACTGTTGTCAGTAGTTATAAACACGAATAGTATATTGCACCATAAAACGTTAATTAGATTATATTTTTCATTATAACATTTGTTATCATGAGATACACAACGCATGATGGAATGAGGGAAACGGTACTAAGATGATAAATGTTGTAACAAAAAATATATTCTAATTAACGTTTTATGGTGCAATATTCGCATTTGATCCAATTTGGAATTAATTTCATAAATAAATAATTAAAACATAACCGACAGTGATTTTATAATGATGCAAATAATGATTTTTATTTACTTTACGTACTTTATTTATGTATCAATTTTTCCTTGAATCTGGCGTTATTATAATAATTATTTTCAGGTTCTCCGAAGTTCAAACTATTGGAGTCATAATGTAACTATTGGAGCCTCAATAGTAACTACTGGAGTCTCAGTAATAACTACTGGAATACCAATAGTAACTATTGATTCTTAATAGTATTTTTCCGTAAGGGCAATGCTGCGGTAAATGACGATAGCTTTGTAAATGAAGTGCCACATTTATAGAGCATGCCTCCTAATGTACACGGGGTACAAGCTCCCAAGAAAAAACTGAATCAAACTTGGATTATACCCTCTACTAATATAGCTCAAAAGCAAGTGAAATGCTGAAACCGTTTTACTAACCTCCATTAGCCATATTGAAAATAAGGATGCAAACAAACAGTCAATCTCGTCACAATGGTAGAAAACTAGCTGCATATACAGGCGGATCTGCCGCGACGGATTCATTGCTCATCTCACCTATTTAACTGTGGGTAGCAGATCCGCGAATTCGCCGCGGAAAATCCGCCCGCGTGTATACCCTTATGGAAAAAAACTATTAATAAATAGTAAAATGGCCACTAGTAATTTGGTTAATAGTTAGTACTGTTGGCCAATAGTTACTGTTGATCAATAGTTACTGTTGGTAAATAGTTACTGTTGGTCAATAATTACTGTTGGTCAATAGTTACTATTGATCAAAAGGAGTAGAGTATATATTGTACACAAATTTTTGAAGGTTTCGCGCGACCACTCGGGGATTATTTTATTTCTGTTTTCTTATGTATTTTTCTTCGTAAAAATAAAAAATAAAAAATAAAGAAGAAAAAGCGCGAATACTATGGTAAATATAGGACCGCAACGGATGGGACAGAGAGAACTGCATCCTACGCAACGGATGGGAGAGAAAGGACAACGGGTTAAAAAGAGAACGTAACAGACGAGAGAGACAAGGCACGAAACCTTCCCTTCCCCCTTTAACACGGACCCCGATAACGCGCTTTTCTCTCCCTCAGCATCTATGATACACACTTCCCCCTCCCTGACCTTTCACACAAACACACACATACATACCAAATATACGTACACGCACTAACACATAATTATTTAGAATCGATGTAGTTACCTACTATTGTTCCTTCAGTAATAATTAAAAACAACTTATTAGATATATTTATGATTACTGCGATTTGCGATCCTATATGCATGTTCATAACTTTATATCTGTAAAACATTAATAGTAAAATTATATAACATGAATACAGAGTAATAGAGTTAAAAAAAATATTGTTCTTGATGTACAATAATAACGAGTTATCTGCCTATAATTTCTGTCAAGCTGTCAAGAATTTAATTTGTGATTACAGTACGTAGTGAATGTAATCGTACGTTAAATTATATCTGTATTATGTATCTTCATACGCCACAAATGTGGAAATTTCCATATAGTTGCGTGTAGTGGTACTTTGAAAAGTCGGTGAGAAATAACCGATTGTCTAGTCGATCGTCAGCCAAGCAAGCTTCTTTTTCGTCTGAGTGTATTTAACAAGTAATTTTTTCTGTCTTATTGTAACACAGTTATTTTTTTTAACATCTATTTATTATAATGTTCTAACTTAATTTTTGACTTAAAGATTAATAACTTAAATATTAATTAAAGACACTGTTACATCTTTAATATTAAATTGCTATGTGGTACTAGTAATTTCAATTTTTTCGTTAAATTTGTTTAGTGCGTAACATTTTTATAGCTAAAGAGGCAACATTTTAGATAATTTGGATGATTTACTAAGTGTTAAAATATATGTTTTTTATATTAGTAAAAGGTTGTACAAGTATCTACTATGTCACTGATTAAAAGGATTTCCTACGATGAGGAAAAGAGGAAAAATCCTGAATTGAAAGATGCCGATATACAAATCTTAAAGGATTGGTGCATGAAACAACCGCATCTTCCAAAAATTTTAGATATCGAATATGTATTATTCTTGCACAGTAATTACTATCATATCGAGGCTGCTAAGAATACCATCGAAGAATATTATACTTCCAGGACTCACATGCCAGAATTTTTTTCTGATAGAGATCCACTTGGAACGAAGCAATTGCGAGAAATATTTAAAGTTACGTAAGTATTAAAAGATTTGTCAATATTCAAGTATATTTTAATAATATCTAATAATAACAATTAATAGATTCTGACATATTTTTCGTGTACGTCATAAAATTTCATAAAAAATACAATGATTAACGGGCAATTGAGAGCAATAATAATTGAGAGAATTAATCGATTTATTCGGTGCGAACTAGTATTCTGAACGAATTTTATAGCGTATCCATTCTTTCAAAATAATTTATTTTTTGACATGTTGGTCATAACTAGCAGTTGTGCTCACTCAGCCAAATAGCTAATTGACAGGGATGTTTTTCAAATATGGAATTGAACATATTCTTCAGCTGCTCTTTATTCCTATTTGGTACGATTAATCGAAACCTATTCGGTACAATTAATTTTCGAATCTATCATAGGACATCGCTGATAATGGCTCGAACGGAACCGAAACGTCCGATTCTTTCGATTTGTATATAATGTCTTGAACAATACATTTGTTAATTATTACGCACAAGTAATTGCGTTGATTATTGCTCTCAATTGCCTGTTAGTCATTGTATTTTTTATTCCTTTTTTATCTCGAACGCACAATTAATTTTATTTTTATAATTTTGATAAAGTTTCATGTTTAAACGTACTTTATTTTTATTTAAAAAAAATATCCAAGTAGCACAACGGCGCCTGCAAAGCGCTTATACACATTTACGTTTAGCACTTTTTTAACACTTTATAAGTACTGTATGCTACTTGGACAGAAATTCATACTATAATACTTCAAAGATAAATAGGCGAGCGGTTTAAATTCATTTCAATTTAGAATTCATTAACCGACCAACCAACGTTCTAGTGGTAGTTATAAACTTTTGTTAAAAAAATCTAAACTTTGAATAAAAATTGTATAAGCTTAATAGCTTAAAAAATGTTCAAAATAAACATTTTTTGTCTCTTACGCTCAGTTTCACAACTCACGGTTAATTCTTAACCGAGGTTGTTTCTCCTAAAAGGTGATTTCATCTAAAAGGTGATATATCTCTTCCTAATTTTAGAATTGGAAAGAGATAATGAATAAATTAAACCTCGGTTAAGAGTTAACCGTGAATTGTGAAACTGGGCCTTAGACTTTTTTGAGAAAATCAATAATTTTTGAGATAAAAAATGTGTCTAAACTTGAACAATAACTACCTTTATAATTTTTTTCTCACAAACTAATCATCCAATCAATATGAATACAAAAACGAAAATATTCGGTCGATCTTAAATTATAACGAAAATTTTATTTTATTTTGATCCATACTATTCTTGACTGTGAAAACTTTATTCATTGCTTTTAAATAGTTCAATCTTGAATTACTAATTTATACTTTATATCGACGCCTGAGCTGTAAAAGGTGATATATCGAGAAAAACATGAAGAAGGGTAAAAAACGTAATGAAACACGATCTATTCACGCGAGGCGTGAAGACCAGTCTATGTCAGAACACATGCGAAGTACGGTTTATATCGAGAAAAGCAAGAAGAACGGTTTATGTCGCATGACTTTGAAGAAGGGTTTATCAGGGTTTATATCAGCTCCATAAAGTTAGCAGGATCAAATCAGCAGAATCAAATCGGACCTATAGAAATTTTTAATACTTATTTTGTACTAAATTGTACTATTAATGATAATTTTGTACCGTGTGCTATTTCGAAAAAAATTGTGACGCTGCTGGCTTAATATTAAACTAGCATGACCAATACAAAATAAAAGATAAAAAAAAAATAATATTAGCAATCAATACGATTGAATTTGTACTACTTTGTACAATGCCATTCGGCATTGAGATCGCTCACGCGCCGCAGACGTGTCTTCAAAGCTTTATTATGATAAAATAAAATTTTTGTTATAGTTTAAGATTGGTCTAATATTTTTTCGTTTTTTATTCATATTAATTAGATGATCAGTTTCTATGGAAAAAAATAAGGAAAAATAATAAAAATAGTCATTTTTCAAGTTTGGACATTTTTTTATCTCATAAACTATTGAGTTTATTAAAAAAGTTTAAGAAATAAAAAAATGTTTATTTTTATCCAATTAAGCTAACAGAATTTTTTTGAAATTTTTATTCGAAGTTTACAGATTTTTTAAACAAAAAAATATTCATAACTATTCTACGATTACACAAAAAAGATGTATATATAGATGTTTTTTTAACAGAGTAACATGAGGAATTAAATTATT